GAACATAAATTTCAATTATCTTGACATTCGTTCTTGCGCGATGTTTTATTCGCGCATTGAAGTATACCCGCGGAATGTTGTCCGTATTAAACAGATTTTGATGCCGAGATGCTGCCGTTGTACACCTAATGATAGCAAGATTAATCAAAATCTCGAAATATTTATATATATTTTTTAAAACTTAACTGTTTCAGGGATATATATTTTGGAAATTGCATCTCATTTATTATGTACGCAAGTATATTTATGATATTTATTAAAATATATATATATATATATATATATATATATATATATTCAATTATATAATAAAAAGGAAATTTTAAAATTATTTAAACAATCGGAAATAAATGTTGCATCGCAAAAAATTGAACCCAATAAACATAAGAAATTGTGAACAGTTTTTATAATTGCAATGCATTGCTATTGCAAGGTGTCTGGTCAGTTATGTGCATTGAGAAATAACATACTGGAATTCTCCTTGCATAGAAATTATTTTTATCAATAACTATCATTGTATACCATTTTGTTGCCACCGCGGATAAAGATTGTCACGGCGCGAGAATTCTTGCATTCCTCGATGACCAACATTCGATCCTTTGTCGTCCCGAACGTTAATTCCCTGACCACTCCGGCATGACCAAGTTTCTCCGGTGTCAATTCCTCGAAGCGAGGTACAATACGTCCACCAGTTGCAATGGCGATAAGCTGAAAAAATAATTTGATTTCTTCGTGTGTATCTTTATATGAAATATATAATATGACAAGAAGATATATCACAGTTTCTTCAGATCTCATAATCTTTGGATCATTGGAGCCACCGCAAGAGAGCTGAATGACTGGTTATCTAATTTTGAGAGTACTTGCATTTTTTTGAAAGTCAATATAACATTAACTTGCAAAAAAACTAATACAACCAAAACCAAAATAAGCCAGTTACCAGAACTCTCACACCTCCTCTGGCGCTCTTTTTTCATCATTAGAAAAAAATAATAATTGCAAAAGCATAAAAATAAGTAAAATAAAATTGATTAAAAATCGAATTAAAATAAAATTACGAAGTTAACTCACTTCGATCTCCGGGCCGCCGACCCATCTGATCGCAGGCAAATTGTTTTGTAATAGAAGATGATTTGCTTCATCATCGAAACCCCATTGACAAATAGCCAGCGTCGTACCAGCATCTTTGACCTGTTTCACCATCTCTGTGAATTTTTCACACTCATAATCGCGTAAGGCTCTGTAATCCTCGACCGATGTGACGTCCAACTTATGCTTTGTTTTGGGTTTCGGCGGCTCGAAGGGACATGTTAGGATAGCCAGTTTGACGTTTTCTAATTTCTGTATAATTATAATCAAATATACTATATAACATTTTTTCATTATAAAATAAAAATCTGTGACATCAAATACATATTTTTCGAATGTTACCTTTGGCATCTGTGGATGACTAAAGTCCTTGTCAACAACGACACCACGTACCAAGACAGTATCTTCCAATCTACCACCAACCTTTCCTTCTATCTTGATTAGTTCGAAATTAACATCACGACTAACAGGATCCATTACTGCCAATACAGCTTGTACAGCAATTTCTGCCATCTGTCTATGATGCTTATTAATGCTGCGTAAATAAAATATATAAGTAAAAAAAGATTACAAATAATATCTTTGAAAACAATAAGATTGCTTTATTACATCTTCGAACCAAGTGAAGTCATAGCAATATCGATATAGGGCTCCAAATTTTCTGGGGTTCCTTTAAAATCATCCGTTATTGTTTTGAGATGTTCAGTAGAACATCTCGCTGCTAATTCGAAACCATCAGCTATTCTAATTGGATGAATTCCCTTGTCTAATAGTTGTTCGGCTTGTTCCAGAAGCGCACCAGCTAGAACAACTACTCCAGTAGTACCATCCCCAATTTCATCATCCTGAGATTTTGATAGCTGAACCATAAGCTTGGCAATTTCGTGATCTACATCCATGTTCTTCAGGATTGTAGCACCATCATTGGTAACAGTGACATCTCCATCAGAACTCACCATCATTTTATCCAATCCCTTAGGACCCAAGGATGTTCTAAGAATACTAGCCACATTACGTGCTGCCATAATATGTGACTGTAATCAAAATATTTCTCTATTTATAACATTTATTTCAATTTTCTATTTAAAAAAATTATATATTATTTTTTTAATTTAATGGATCGACTTTTTATAAATTAAATATCTTCAAAGAAAATTATTATCTTGAGGAATTAAAATATTAATCATAATGAACATATTTTTTTATGAAAAGATATATACATATCACAAAACAAATTTATAACTCTGTTGCTTTCCATAATTTCAGTAAAATCTATAGATTGCCTTATATGGTCACAAATCCGCCAAAGATATTATTCATGAGGTATGTGAAAAATTTATTCGCATTTCTTTCATCTACGCATGTAAATCAAAAGACAAAACCCGGGAAATGAGAGAAAAATTTCCCACGTAGAATTTAATCGAAAATTCTTTTATTCGTCGTGAAGTCCTAATGCCGCCATTAATTCTCTCACGTGGCCATTCTTGAAAAGCCGCAATATCATCGAGAATACATCGCGACATATCTCGTCATTCACGAGAGAAAGCTCGCGGAACGATATCCGAGACGCGATACGAATCGGGATCATTCTCGTCCTAATCTCTTACCTTGATCGCATCATGACCGGTGAGCCGTTGCTGCCTCTCTTGGTTTCGCAAAATGATAAAGGGCCGGCCGAATTCGTCGAACGCCATCGTTCCTGGTATCGCCGTCATTTTGACAGTTTAGCGCAACTCTAAATAGATTATCGGATAAATTGTCCTCAAACGAAACAGCGATTGTCTTCACTGATGCAACGCTCTTCTCAACCGCTCGTCGATTCTACGCAGCCATCTTCTTCTTCTTCTTCTACTTGAATAGCACCGATTGGGCAGCCTAGGCAGCCATGAATGCTGTTCACAACCGGAACAGACAGAAAGACGCAGGCGGCGATGAAATTTCGAGATTGCTTTAGGATCGATGCGAGTTTATATCACGAAGGCGCCATCTATAATCGTCTTCTCTCATACATACTATTTTACAAGAAAATAGTTACCAATTAATGGTAAAATGAATTTTCTAAAAAGATAGTTTCAATAAGTTTTCTACATTACCAGCCCATTTTTGAAGCTTTTTAAAGGCGCGATCAATTTTTTCAAATATAATATTTAAAGATGTATGTGTCACATGTCAAAACATTGACAAAAGCATGAAAATTTTGTAGATTGTTCTACTGTTCCTTCTGAGTATCTGTGCAAAACTTGAGCACAATTCCAAAAACAGTTTTTTAACAGTTTGGAAATTTTA